AGACCAGTGCTTACTCATATAGAAATCTCTTAGAATACTGAAGAATTAAACTAAGGAATTATTGCAAAGATCTCAGAGCTTTATTTTTTGTTCAAGAATCCAATCTGGGAATTTCTCTAGGTTGTGTGAATTCAAAGATCTGTATTTGTATCTCAGAGCAGCTAAATCCTACCATAGACTAATGCTTAGGTGTTACAAAAGGATTCAGGATTAGCTTATCATGTTTCTACAGAAATCATCAACCTTTTTTTTAATGTTTATTTTTGCCTAATTTTGCTTTGTTTGAAACCAGAGAACTTCTGAAAATACTGAATAAATAGCAAATTTTTCTGTTGGTTTTGCTTTAAACTGAGTATAATTAACATTTAATTAACATTTAATTTCTTTTTTTCAGGAGCAATCTTCATAGAAAAATGCTCAAGGAAATTGGCCCATTTTTTTCCAACAGTCACAAGGTGCCAAACTTCCTCTCAAAGTGAGGTTAAGAGTTCCTCCTCTTCCAGGAACACTTGAGCAGAGGGAATGCAGCTGAACTGCTTTGCTTAATTAGTCAGTTTATCTGAATTAACGATGGACTAACACTCCTAGGACAAGTAGTATAAAAGAGGGTTGGCAGTACTGAGGAGGAAAAAGGTGAAGACTTGTTGGAGGAATGTGTAAGAGAATAAATTTCAGCCTGAATTAAGACTATAGTAAGTGCTTAATTTCAGCCTGAATTAAGACTATAGTAAGTAGAAGGTTATATCTAACAAAATTGGCTCTTTTTTCCCCCCATATATTTATGCAGTTCGTTACAAGCTGGGATGTTGAATTTGGGCATATTGAGCTAGTATGTTAGGAGAAGAGTGTATGTGGGGAGGGGGAAATGGGTGGTTATTTTGTGCCCTTTTTAACAGTATGCTGGCACATGTTGTGATCTGTTTAAAGCTTGTATGACCAGACTCCTTACATGCTGACTGATACTGCTTTTCTGTAATCACTTAGATGTCTGCATAAATATTTTCTGCCTTGTATTTCAGGGAAGGGATTAATTTATGGGGTATGCATTTTTAAAAAAACCAAACATATCTATTACAATTATCTCAGCTCACATCAGTTTCCAGGTTTTTCTTCCACTGGTATGTCCACCTTTGTATCTGTTATTCTGTTCAAATTACTTGGGATATGGCTTCTAGGTCAAAAAAGAAACATTGCTAAGCAACTTTTTTATTTATTTATTTAATTTGTAGCAGACCTTAAAACTAGGAAATGCTTTTGTTCTTTGATCTGACTACAGAACTTGCACAACTTTCAGGAAGGGTCTCTTTTGGATAACTTTCCAGTTGCTATTACTGCTGAATAACTGACAGTGTGCTTGTTTGCATCAGCAGTAAGAACCCCATAAGTCCCATCCTTTGAGACAGATAATTAACCACAATTTATTCTTCAATGAAACTTAGCATTTACCATAAAATCCCAAAGGCATATTTTTATTCCACAAAATCTTAGTTCATCACATCATGCATAATGGAGCATATTTATTAGCATAATCTAGCCTAGTAATGCTACCTCTCACATTAGCATGCATTTAGTAGGATCAGAGAGGGGTGTTAAAAGAGGAAGTTCTCCTGTAAGACTAAACTGTTTTAGGTGCAGGTAATCTCTGTAAGAAGTAGAATAAAGCAACAATCAACGCATATACTAATAGAAAGGAGCGGCAGTATCTATTACATAAGTGTTGCATTATGAAATAATAGGTATAGCTTGTACTTTTTACAAATGCAAGTATTTGTGCATAGTTAACAGGCTTTTTTTAAAAAGATAACAAGTTGATTTTCAAGGCCAGGTCTTCAATTGTTCAAAACATAAATATACACTGAAACCAAGTTTAGGTTTTTATGTTCTATGATTTCTATTTCTGTGTATGAATGTAGAATTACTTTATACATATAGGCTTGGGGTTTTTTCCCCAGTGTTGTGCTTATGTAAAGTTTTATATCAATCAAGCCATATAGTTCTGTAAATTGTATCTCTTGCTCTGTGCTCCAAGATTAAGCATGGCTTTTCCTGGTTCAGCATGAGATTAGATACATAAAAAGAAAGCTTTCCTGTAGAAAATAAGGATATATGCCTGGACTGCGTATATACATGAGCAAGTTTTGAAGTGCATAAGGCTTTTTCCATTATTTCAACGGGTTTCTTCTATTATTTCATCAAAGTTTTAGTCTCTGGATTAAGCTCTCATGCAGCTCCATAGAGAGAAGCCATTCTGGTACAGGAGGCATCATGAACATCAGCCCTCTGTCTCTTGAGATCAGAGACTAATCATTGGGTTGAATATTTGTGCTTTTTTTTTGAGCTATGGCTGATGTCCTTCCAGGATTTATCTAAGCTCAGTTTAACTTAACCAATGGGGGGTGGTTAACAGCCTTTGGTACTTAGTCTGCCAGTTCAAGGTTTTCAGCTTCTTGTCCTGTTAATGTATCTGAGCTCACAGGAAAACTCGTGAACACTTGTGTTTTAGTGTGGTCTGTGCACTGCCTAAAATAGATTTGCAGCCACTTCCTCAGCACAGTGTGGTATAACCCCCTAGACCAGCGTGAAAGGTGAGGTCTTGGGTTCTGGTTGTCTCCAAGCCAGCTTGGAGCCTCTCCACTCTAATCTCCTGTAAATCTGGCTCCAGGCTGGAATGATGAACAATTAGTGACTGCAGATTAACAGGATTATATGGGGGTTTATTTGGCATATTAGGTTTAGTTCAACACAGGATTCAGATGGAATTGGAACTTTCAAAACTGGCCTTATAAAAGCCCAACCAACTTTGATTTTTAAAGTCAGTTGCGTGAAGCTGATAGCCCTAAGCACAGTAGGTAACTCTCTCCGGCACCTGCTCCTTCTGCAGTAGCCCCAAAACTCCGTTTGAGCTAAAGTGAGAGAAATGGTCTCCCCCAGGAATATTCTCTGAGCATGCTGAGAAGCTCTCTGAGCAGCTGTACTTAGTGCACGCCCCAGTGTAGCAGCTAGGAGCAGACCCAACTACATGTCCATGTAGCTGGAGGAGCAGCTTCAACGCTGCCTTCACTCCAATGACTTTCAAAGGCTGGCTCACTCCAAGTCACAGGCTGCTCTCAAACAGCTGAAAGAAGTAGGACTGTGTCACTCTCCAGAAGTTCATACCAAGGACCGCTTGGTATGCCCTCTTGGCAAGAGCTGTGACCCTGGCTTGGTCCTGGAGTGCCACAGCCTCAAACCTCACCTTCATTGCTGTGCACTGGGTACCACTTCAGTGGGATAGGTAGGAGCAGTGCCTGTCCAGGTGTCACAGAGTCTGAGCCTGTTCTGTGCAGGAACTAGAGGAATGGGACCAAATTTCCTTACGCTGAGGAAAGGACTGAAACCAAATGGCATGGCTGGAATCATAAGTGTCATGGGTTTTTAGGGGGAAAAACAAACAGGCAGTGGGTGTTCCTCTGTTCCCACAGGGAACGGTTGCTGGCATTGTCCTCACAGAAGGTTTCTGAGCTGTAAGTCCCCAAAGCAGTAAGAATGACGTGATTATGAGAGACAAACTCTCATGAGAGCACACACTGTGACTCACTGTCCATGATATATGGTTTTTTTTTTTTTGAAGCGTTTGCATAGTCCTGACACACAAACTCTTCATGGCTCAGTGATAGTCTTGAAAACTAGCATTACTGTTCAGTACTTCTTGGAACAAAACCTCGTCCTTTAGTGTGATGGTCAGGAGGTTCCAGCAGGATGAGATGCAAGTGTATCGCATGACTAACTGGGACTTGTTCTCTCATCTTTTGTTTGTTGTTTTCATCTGATGCTCTTCATCCAAAGTGCTTTGAGCTCTCTACCAAGAAACTATTAATCTAGTGGACAGTGAAGTAGGATGCTAATCCTGGGGCTTATAGTCACTACTGTGTAAATAATTTATGTCAGTGATAATGGCTCTTTGGGAAAAAGGGTGTATCACCCATAAGTGTTACTGGCACTGCTATTACAGTCTTCTGGATGCAATCCAGAAGATCTGGCAGATGTTAGAGGAAGCACACTTAGATCCTTAAGTGAGGCACTAACGTAAATACAACAGTGTGTTCTCTCTTGGTGCCTACTCAAGCAGTGTGTAGTCACTTTGGCTGGATAGTGCTGAGTCTGTGGAAGCTGCTAATCTCTGTGGTAGTTGTGAGCCCAAGGCTGAGTTCCAGTAAAGTTCAGGCAGAGAAAGATACTGATTTGAAAAAAAAACAAAACAAAACTGAAAGAACCAACTAGATTCTGGAGCCAACTTCAAATGTAATTAATTTATTAGCATCCATGTGACTGAAGGTATAAAATGCAGGATTTCTTAGATGTTCTTCTACTTTAAATACTGAGCTTGTGTCTTCCTCAGAACTCCCTGTAAGGTAAGATCAAACAAAAAATAGCAAGTACAAACTGGATATTTCAATGAATACTAATTCTGTGTTAGTGTTTTAATATCTAATATAGGAAACTGTTCTCTTTCTTCTTAGCCTGAAGATCTTCTAAAATAGGTGCTATCATCTCTTTAAGGCTTTTGTTGCAGTGAAACAGATTGACTAATCAAACAAAGCAAATAAATGTGTGCTTTGTCTAGAGACTTATTATGCTGATCTTTGTTCTGTCTTTATTCTAGCATTCTTAATTGCTTAATATTAAACCAACAGATTATCTTGGCCGCTGTGCATTTCTTCACCTGCTAGCTGACTTTGTTCCCTATGTACCATTCAGCTTCTTACCTCCTGAGAAACTTAAGGCTAAGCATTTACCACCCAACGTGGGGAGCAAATGTGCAGGAGATAGGAAAAGTTCCCTTGGTGAAGGGAGAGGTATGTTTTATGATGTACTTGGTTACCGTGAGGGACAGAGTGAGACCTTAGCAGCTTCTAGCCAATTGGGATGGCAGGCACGCCTCCCCCAGCTCCATCAGCCCTGCACTGACTGAATCCAACTTGAAAACGTAGGGGCTGGCTGTCTTTCCTAACACTGTCCCGAATCCTTCCTGCTGACTGGGAGCAGAGGAAGAGGATTCTCATCGCTTTTCCTGAGTGCCAGCACAGCAGAGGATGCCTAGCAACCACTCATCTGCTTACTGATTCTCAAAAAGGTTTGTTTTTTAAGGGAAACCCTCTGATTGAGAGGAGTCTGTGCATGTAATGCCACAGCTTTTATCTTCTGAAGGCACAGTTCTGTAACCACAGCGTTCCTTGGAGGCAGCAAATTCTCTAATGTTTTTTTTTAATTGATGTAAGTATAGATTAATCATATGCTAACTTGGCAAGTGGCTTTATTGCAAATTGCTTCTGTCTTCAAGCACAAGAAAATGCTCATTATAAAAAAATTAAAATTAAAAATCATGGGACGTTTCAGTTCCTTGGCACAAATGCTGAGCTGTAAACTTGGGTCCTGGCATAAGTATTCTAACCAATACACAGAGAAATAATCATAGAATCATAGAAGGGTTCAGCTTGGAAGGGACCTTACAGTAGAGAGCTCTAAAGAAAAAAGGGGGTAGGTAAGGTCATTCTTTAGAGTGTGTAGCAATGTATGTGGGAACTTGCAACAGATAGTATCCTTGCTTGTCTTGTATCCTTGCTTGTTTGCATTTAAGAGGACTGGTTTGTGTAAGTTGATGGGAATTTCTCCACTTGATATTATGATATCTAGCTTAGGTCTAAATACCTTTTTAAAACTGAAGGATATTTTCTTAACCGGAAGGCAGCAAAGCAGGGTTGGGAAACCTTTGCACCATATCCTTCTTAATAAAATAAATCAAGACATTCCTTAGTCAAGGGGCCTAATAGTGTTTTACATATGTTACTTATGGCGAGGCAATTACAGAGGAAAGATTTCAGTGTTTTTCCAGGAGAAAAATCTTAAAAGTACTGTAGGCTTAAGTTGAAGTTCTGACCTTTTATCTCTTTATCCATTATCTTTTTGAGTCCTGAGATAGAAGAAAGCAAATCACAGAGGGCACTTTTTGCTTAGGCACGCAGTATGAAAGGCAATCAAATACCACAGACTGCCTGAAGTCTCGTAAGCAGATTAGGAAAACAAACCTATTTCTTTTAATAACCCTTGGTGTTAATTGATTTGGAGTGAATTTTTGCTTCAAGATCTTTTTTTTTTCAAGAGGAGCAATACCCCATGGCCTGTAAAATCCATTCCTCCTGCAAGTGCTTTTTGGGGCATCTGTCCTCAGAGGCAGGAGGCAATAACAGACAAAACCAGAGGTGGAGTCTACAGGGTTGCTTACCGGCTTACTTTCCTTTGAAATTTGTTTCTATGCATTTTTTCAGAAATGTTCTCATCAGTTGCCTGTAGTGTTTTGGAGTGCCACGTAACGGCTAAATCCCCCAAATACTTTATTTGGAAGAGCTAAAAAAAAATACATTTTCACTGTCATGGAATTCAAAGCTGGAAGTTAGGCTGGCTGAGAACCATAGTTTGGCAATAAGTGCTTACCTCTTGTATTGGTAGACAATCCTAGTGAATGTATTTAACTGTAATACAAGAGGATGAGTCAAAATGTGTGTAAAATCCAAATGTTTTCAACAGTCTTGATATTTGCAATGGTTGGCCTGACTCTCTCAGTACTGCTGGCAGGGAACAGGAGAGCCAGCTGATGCCAGCTTCTGCATGAAGCCCTGCTTGCTCCTTAAGCAACATGATCTGACCGCTCCTAGGCTGGACAGTATTAGCCCTCTCTCTATAAGCCTCTGTTTCTAGTCTTTCCATCCTCATATACCCCATTCATCTCTTCCTTTCCTCCTCACATGGAGGAAGAGTTTAGATCCTCAGCCCAGAGGATGGGATTTTCTGTGTTGCTCAGCCATAGCGGTTAGAGGGCAAGGGAAGAAGGTGACTGTATGGAGAAAACAAAAGGACAAAAAATATGCTTCTTAATTCTTGTAATCTGTGTGGGGGGTTTTTTTTGGTTTGGTGTTTTGTGTGGTTTTTTCTTTTTGTTTTTTGATTCAAAACAAAATCTCTGAAATAGCTTTGAGCTGAAACATGGGGTGGTCTCCCCATCCAGTGCCTGACCCTAACCACCTGGCTATCTCTCTGTACCTCAGATGTATGTTTCCCAGTGAGTCCCATGTTATCAAATTATAGGTTCTAAAAATGTACAGCAAATCACTGAAGACTAATCTTCAGTCTTCTTTCATAGTAAAAACAGTGGCAGGTAGGAAATAGAAATGACCTAATTTCTGGTGTTCAGCTATAATCCAAACTGCTTGAAAAGAGTTTATCTCTACTTCTGTCTTTCAAATCAGGCAAAACTGGCCCATGAATGAGAGAAGAAAATGGACAAGTAATGGCATAAGGGGTTTTCTTTTTCTTCCCCCCTGCACCACTACAGAAAAATCCTACTGAAGGACACAGCACTCTCATAGCTTTGTCTTGGCAGCCAAAAGTTGTTCCTCATTCCTCACCCTGGTGTTATCGTTGAGGGGGCAATGAAGCTTTTGACTCATCATAGACTTTTACTAGGAAGAAATTCAATGAACAAACATCACAGACAATGACTGGAAGGGAAAATAGTACAGATTTGTTTAACTAGGGAGTTGTCAAATCAGCTAGCTATAATTGCAGAAGGATTTAGTGTTGCACCAGAGAGTTTGGGGAAGAAATGTTTATTGCTGTTCCATTACTTTATTGCTGCTTCTTAGCTTACAAATTGGAGAAGTTTTTTGTGGTCATATAACAACTATACACTTTTAGTTTAAGCTTAAAAGGAAGAACAAATAGATAATATTGGAAGATACCTGGATTTCCACCTGAAAGGGAACTTCAGGTTTTATAATAGGACACTACTCCAGTACAAATTTTTTGGATTGCAAGCTGTTTTTCAAAAGGATTAAAAAACACTCTTATTGGAGCTCTTGAGCAAATGAAGCAGATAAGAGTGAGATCACAACACAGAACACGTATTGCCAGAACACTTTGAAAAGAGTGATATCAACTCTCACACTTGGACTAAGGGTTTGGAATCATCCTACACTGCTACAGGAACAGAGTGGACCAATTTCATGAGAAGACTCCTAACAGTAACCTTGAGGAGGAGCAACTATAGTTCAAAAAAATGTTTTGTCTGCCAAGCTGTCGGTATTTCAAGGCAATCCCTGTGAACATGAAAGAACATGTAGGGAAGAGGGCAGCTTAAAAGAAAGTCACAGCCAGATTCCTCCCTCCTTGATTTTTGGAAAAGTTAAGCAACATGTGATCAGAAGTTGTGAGGTCTTGTTTTCATTCTTCATAGCTAGTTGAAGCTGTCACATTATCCCTTCCACCACTCATATTTGTAAGCTCCCTTGCTGTGATCTTCAAGCATTTCTTTGGCAACCTGGACTGAACAGCAATTTGTATCAGTAGTTAAGATCACTTCAGCTTAGAGGTGACGGTGAATTAGGATAGATTTGGATGGTCGGTGTCCAAATGCATCCAGAGTCCTCTCCATATTCCCTTTCATGTACAGCCCACCACAACAGAGAATCATAGATCCGATGCATAACATCCTATATAATCTGCTATCTCAAAAATCTGTGGTCAGTCAGAGACTTGTGTAACACAAACAAGTCTTGATTTGGCCAAAAAGGGCTGTGGCTTCTGTGGAACTATGTGTACAGGCATGAGTCACAGCAAAGATGTGCATGTAAGTGTGCTGCAATCTAACTTGCAATTTGAGAGATTATCTTGGCCTTGGTATATCCTACTCCACAAAGCATACTAGGCTTTAATTGACCTATTAAAGAACAATTGGCTTATTGAGGACAGAGGACTTAGTGAGGCCTGAATGCCATGGGGTCTAGTGTGGTAAACCAAAAGTCTTTGGCATTAGTATCTGCTCTTGTGGGCTTTGGGGTGAAGTGTGAGCATAAAGTAATGTCCCAGAAAGAGATGAGGAACAGCACATTATGTATGCATTCCAAATAGAATTGGGTCTAAATGGCTCAGACATACAGAAAGGAGTTAAAGTGTTAAAGCTGGAGTTTCAACCAAAATTGGGGCCGGGATAACTGCAGACAGCGGGATGCTGTGGTAGTGCTTTGCACCTGGAGGGAAACAAATATTAATCAAAACGATTAACTGATAAACCAAGCCAGGAGAATGTGGGACCATAGGGCAGAACTGAGCCTTGGATAACATCATGTTTTGGTCTTGCAGAAATATGAGGGAAGGCAAGATGGCGACAGAAGCTTAAGGAACTTCAGGAATTAATTTCATGCCTTGACCAAATTCTGTGAGGAGTGGGATGGGAAACCATAGCAACAAAAGAATGGCCACATGAGGCTGAATGAAGGAAATCACCAAAATTTTCCAAATGTCTATTTCAAGAGATGTGAAGTCTCTCAGATTTGCAGAATATAGCATTTATGCTACCTTGCTGCCTTGAGGATTGTTGAGTGTATCAAACTAGAGCTGACATCAGCACTGAACTGCTTATATGCAGGGGTATTCCATGGAAATAGCCTGAGATCTATATTGTATGGCTTATGTGCCCTAATGCAGTTATGATGGCAGGTAACTCAGTGAGAGAGGTTATGGCCATGTGGTATGTCATCATTTTGCTTCCTTCAAGAGGGTAAGAACTTGTACAGGGGTAACAGTGCCTACATTAAAAGTTTGTATAGCTTATTCTGGCACATTACATAGCTGTTTCTTACAGGCTGGCTAGAAGCTACATGCCCCTCTTGCAACAATAATTACACAAGTTCATTTTTTAGTGTTCCTGCTTCCCTGGGTTATGCTTTTGCAGTCTAATGAAACAATCAGGCAAGTTTCCAGCTGTTATTAACTGCTTGAGAATTGATCTCTTCCCTGTTAGGGAGGAAGGGGGGATAGCAAACAGTCTGTACTAACTACTGACGCATCATCATGAGTTTCAGTTCAGACAAATTCATGATGTCTCCCTGGCTTCCCTGGTGGCTCTTCTTTCTATGGCTGTTAAGATCTTGACTACAAAGCTGGAAAAACTGACTACAGTGGCCTTATGTTTGCTTGCAGATTATCAGTTTGTTCTGGTACAGCTGATAAAACAGTATTTGGGTCTATTTAAATATCATAGCACTTGTTGATAATTGGTTATTAAACTACAGAGTGGAT